AATAGGGTTATTTTTAAAGTTTGTCTTACAATATTTTGTGCAAGGATAAATAAAGGTACACGTTTTGTTGTGGTATTAACTAAATTCAATTTTAATATACAGAGTGTTTATAAAAAAATCTAAAACTTCAAAGTTTGCAAATATCGATATTTCAGTTTTTTTTCAAATGGAATACCCTCTATTTTATTAATGAATCTTACCGTATTTTTCGTCTTCATCCTTCTATTATGTCAGGCGACAAAAACAGAATAATATACAGCAATAAAATATAGGCTGTTCTATATGAAAAAACTGAAAAATCGATATTTGAAAATTATAATACTTAATTAAAATATTTTTTATAAATACACTGAATATGAAAACTTAATCTCATTTATATCACAACAAAGTGCGTACTTTTCTTTATTTCTCCACAAAATATTGTAAGACAGACTAGAAATAACCCTACTGTGATTTTTAGTGTGAACCATTCCATTGCTAAAAAATTTCAAGAAAATTGGAGGATGTGGCAACGTTGCATCATAATTAAAAAAATATTTTTTTGTAAAGTTTAAGAAGAGGTCAGTCAAAATATGTACACTCAGTTGTGTGTTACGCCTTAAAAACAGAACACTCTGTAATATTAAAAATAATTTTATAGTATAGTCCACATAGAACCATACAACTTTGCTCTTTGACTTTTCTCTATTTCTAATAATTAATGAGATATTGAGAAACGTGAGTTTAATGACTTACTCAAAGAATCGTATAAATCTAGTCCTTAACTTTTGTTTTCTATATCTAATAATAATTAATAAAATATCGAGTGTTAAATGAGCCACCCTGTAGGTTTATTTATTTCTTTGTAATGTAATTGCTTGTTAAGGTATAAGATTATACAAAGTGTTTACTGCTATGTTACAAAAACTATCTACTACTGACTACCAACAGCTACCACTGATCGACTACCAAACTTTTTCAAAAATGTGAAGTTTATTTGTTGTGGCATTGTATCTTTAAATTATTCGATTTCTCAAATCTTCGAAATGAAGCGTTTTTCTGAAAATCATTCAAGGATAAATAAATCTTAAAATAAACTAAGGAATAAACCCCTGAATTTTTGTCGCGTGTTTAGTAAACACCCTGTATATATGGTTTTATATCAAGACAGTAAGCTAAGGAGGTAGTATAGTTCTCAACATTTCATGACTTCTAGAGTACAAAAACATAGATCGCTGATTTTATTAGATAGATAATAATATCCAATACTACAGGACCAGTAATTCAAAATTTGTCTAATCAACCCCACCAACAATTTGATGACGTCATTTCCAAATTTTGCATATTAAATGTTATTTAAGTTTTATAGAATAACGTACTCCTGAATTTGTAATATATACTAATGCTTTTATGCTAATATACTGCAACAACTCAGTTGATAAGAGACACTTTATTACTTCCCGAGCGTAAGTAAAGGAAGTATTCTAATCGAATCCGTCGGCCGACTCTCTACTTTTACGTTTTCTCGATCTTTCATGACCCCTAGAAGACGAAGAAATAGGTCTCCCATTTCCGTCTGTCTGTCCGTCTGTCCGTCTGTCCGTCTGTCCGTCTGTCCGTCTGTCCGTCCGTCTGTCCGTCTGTCTGCCGTCCCGGATTTTTATTAGACAGATAATCTCCGTAAGTACTAGACCGATTGTTGTGAAATTTTACAGTTATATTAGGAATATCATGTAGATGGTAAAACGCTAACCAAAATTTGCCTAATCATCCCCACCACTAATGCGATGACGTCACTTCAAAATTGTACATAGTAAATGGGTTTTAAATTGTATAAAATAATATAGTCTTAAACATGTAATTTACGACTCCGAATTGAGTTTTTACCCGAAACGTCCAGATTTTTGGAAAAAAAATCAAAATTATAAAACAACATTTTGCAATTTAATTTTGAATCTGCTAATCCGAATGTTTTGAAATGTTGCAGATGTTTTAAGGCTATAAAGAGCATCATAAATCTTTACTCAAAATGTATTTGGTTATCCCCTCCAAAAACTTGATGACGTCAGCTTAAAAGTTTGCCAAATAGATCCTATGTAAAATGTACAAAATATGATGAGTCTGTGCTTGTGATATATCACTCCATTCATATTTTTTTGGATTTGCATATACAGGGTGACTCAAAAAAATTAATAAATGCGTAAATTTATTTTACTGATTTACTCAGGAACTACAAAACCGAATGCTTTGAAATCTTGAAGGTGTTTTAAAGTTATCATAAGCATGGTAAGTTTTTGATCAAAATGTATTTGCTCATCCCTCCTAAAAAATTTATCACCACAAAATTTTGCCGAATAAATCCTATCTAAAATGTACAAAATATGGTGAGTCTCTTCTTGTCATTTATCATTCCATTCATAGTTTTTGGATTTGCATATACAGTTTGACCCAAAAAAATTAATGAATGGGTAAATGTATTTTATTGATTTAATCAGGAACTCCAGAACCGAACGTTTTGAAATTTTGCAAATGTCTTAAGGTTATAAAGAGCATAATAAATTTTTAGTCAAAATATATTTGGTTATCTTCTACAAACAACTGATGACGTCAGCTCAAAAGTTTGCCGAATAAATTCTATCTAGAATATGCAAAATATGATGAGTCTGTACTTGTAATTTATCATTCCATTCATATTTTTTGAATTTGCATATACCGGGTGACTCAAAAAAAAATGAAATCTACTGCGAAAAAAAACATAATAGACATGCAGTCGTCACGTTTCCGATAGCGAGGGAAGTACTGTCTAAACTCTTTAGAACAATTTTTTTTTCTTATATTGTGACTTGCACTTTCTATATATTGTCACGAAAGAAACCCATACGCCACCCCGGTACGACGCCTATGGGCCGTCGAGAGTAGTTCTAGTAGGTATGTACGGCAATAACGAGTGACTCATCGTTGGTGACGGGGGTTCGAGCGGCGTTGGAAAAGTCTGGAAGTGGAAGTCGCGATGGGTTTTCGACAAAGACCTCGATCGCAGAAATATTGGTTTACAGAGGACACCTTCGGAAACGATGACTACTCAGCCAGTTGAGTCAAGAGAGTCCAGTCAAGTTGCGTCTGAATTATTTTGTACATAATCGCTGTAATAGTGTTAGTCGTGTAAATTCGAGTTAGTAAAAATAAGTTGTTGTGTTTTACCCACGCCGATTTTATTCACTGATCAACGTAACAATATTTATATATTTTTTTGTTCTAAAGCACTGAATTTGTTATAATGATATTTCTCTCTATTATTAAAATTTTACTGAATAAAAACAGGCCCCAAATAATAATCACCGAGTGAGGAATTTTGGGAAATTTTTAGTAGTTACTACTTTCCTTTCTACTATTTTTTTTTATTATTCTTTTGTAATTCTTATATAAATGTGTAAATCTTCAGACTACAGTTCTTGATAAGATTGTTAAACAAAACCATGACGTACTTTTCAAAATTAAAAAAACACTAAGAAAATTATCCAAAATTGTTTAGATAGAATCTTTAGAAGATTTTTAAAAAGGAACATTAATTTTGATATGTATTGAGCGTTCCTGTGAATTTCGGAAGAAATAAATGGCTTTTCAGAATTAATAAGAAAAAAAATTGGTCGAAAATTATTTCGACAGAACTTCGCTCACCCTTGAAGTATAGTCCTACAAATCTAGATATTCTCAGTTTGTCAGTACATGCTTAACTTCGATTGTTTACATATATTTAAACTTTGAAACAATTGAACTATTAAGCACGTTTAGATTACAAGCCTTAACAGCTAAAAGAAAATGAAATTTAATTGATTTTGTCGCTCCAACGCAGAGGAGAGGGTTGATTAACCACACTTACTTTTTCACCAAAATTGCAAGATAACGCATAAATTTTGATTAACAATTTATCATGCTTCCAGTAAACTTGAACATACGTATTTGGAAGATTTCACAGCACTCTTAGCAATTTTAATGTTAAATTGTAAAATACAATTTTTTACTTTTTCCGAAAAATCTAGATGTCTAAATTAAAAGCTCAACACGGATTCTTAAAGTACATATTCAGGAGTATATAATGCTATAAAATTTAAAGACAAAATTGTAAAATAACGTTATCATTTTTTATAGGAGCATAAAGGAAAAAAAAACATTAATTAAAAATTTACCATGCTTGCGATAACTTTAAGACGTTTGCAAAATATCAGAGCATTCGGCTTTGCAGTTTGAAAGTTAAATTTCAAAATGTTATTAGGCAATTTTGATTTTTTTTTACAAAAATCGGGATATCTAGGATAAAAACTCGACACGGATTCATAAACCACATATGTAGGAGTTTCTTATTTTATAAAATTTAAATAATATTCACTAATGTAAATTTTAAAGATGACGTTTTTTTTACGATCTATACGAGATTTCTAATGTATATATAAAATTTGACAAAATCTGTCCAATATCTGTCTAATAAAAATCCGAAAAGACAGCAGACAGATAGACAGACAGACAGACGGAAGCGGGAGACCTATTTTTTCCTAGTTTCGGGGTCATGAAACGTTGAGAAAAGATTAAAGTACCCACTCGTCCAATGGACTCGATTACAATGGAAAAAATGAAAAGTTAATTCGCTTGATCACAATTAATAAAATTACGAAAAATTGTTGTGATATTCTTATGTTCGAACATAAGCTGTAAAATTTTATTCTTTAGATTTAATTTATTATTTTTAAATCAGAGATAAAGGAGCCCCTTAACTTAAAAATTTCAGACAAACTTTGCTTAGCAAAATTTTGGGATGTCATAAAATTTTTGCTCAATGCTCTTGGAGCAATTGTTTGAGCGCTCATCCGTGCCAGACCACAGAAACAATTTAAAGGAGTATGTTTTCGTAACATAATGCGTTCGAATCAAAGGCAGTGGCGGAATATGGGTGATTAAAGTACGAAATTGAAAAATAAAGGAGCAAAGACCAATCTCAATTCAAAGGAAAAAATGAAAAGTAAAAGTTAAAGAGAAAATTTTTATTTATTAAACGCCATAAATTAACAGTTACCCAGTTTGATTATAAATCTATTTAGACGTTTTGAGCACCAAATGATTCACTTTTACTTCTAAAAACTGTTTACAAAATAAGTACAATTCTAATTTTGAATACAATGGAAACTAAATTGCGTTTAGCAAAAGCGGAAAAAATTAAACACAATGGGAATTGAAAATTTTGTAAAATAATAAATTAGAAAAACAACCTTTCCTACAACAAAAAGTACCTTAATTACGTATTTATTGTTGTTTAAATAACGCTTTTTTTGTTCGCTTCACTTAACAAACATTCTTGTGATGATAGTTATTAACGTTTCAATTATGTATCGTTAATTTCCTCTTGTTGGTTGGACGAGATTTTCATTTCCGCTGTAGAAGTGTGAATTTCGACTTCTTCCGGTACCAATTTTAGAAACCTGTCCAAGTCTTTATTTTCGTTTGCCATTTCAAACTCATCATAGTCCTGCGAACAAAACACGACAAACTATGTAGCAGCAGTTAATTAATTACTCACGCCTTTTATTAATTAAATGACGTAAGTACGTCTGAATTTTTACTTTATGCATCACACAATTAAAAACTTTTTTGGTAAACTTTACCCATTATAAAATATGTTTTTAAAGACAAATATTTTGTGCGACCGTGGAAAATTTTAAACTGGATGTTTATCTAACTATCGATAAAAGTATGCGTATTATTTTGCTCAAAAATTAATTATAAATATTACTGTAATACATACTCCGCAATATTCCCCGTCGTTGAATATTTGTGGTGGCAGAGAATGCACCGGGTTCGGTTCCATTGCAGTTGCACCTATCGACGTTGCATTTTTCTGCATAAACTCCTTCTGCTCCTTATTATCATCCTCCGCAATGTCAATCACTTCGTGTATGATTTTCTTGGAATCCAGAATCTGCAGCACCGCTTGCTGCCGCGATTTAATCTACTAGAAAATTAACAATAAACATTCAAACGGATATGACAACAACAAAACAACCTACCTCCATATCGCCAGATGTTCGACTAATGTAGACCTTGACCACCATTTTAATCACGTTTTTTTACCTCAAGAGCAAGGTAAATCGTTCTTTTACGCCACGCGTCTCCACACAAAACAGAGTGCAAACTTACTGCTAGAAAATATTTATCGATACTATGTAATCTCCATGAGTCACAAACATATTTGCTCAGAGTTTCGTCACCATTGTTTATTTCTCAATACGTATTTACTCTAAGAGTTTAGTCGAAGGCTGTAATTACACCGATAAAAACATTTTGTTAGCTGATAAGTACTGGTTGTACATTTTTACGAAAAAAAAGTTATTGCAATGCAATTATGTTTTAAAAATAGCAGCACTAATTTGTTTGCCCATGAAATTTCTATGGAGATAATGAGTGTAGACAGGCGAGTAGTATTTGACGCTAATGGGACCGGAACACCTCTTACTAAAGTAGAAAAAAATGTTTCGAATGCTCGTTACCGTTGGCTTAATACGGCCCTGTCGCTCCGAATAAATGACGCCTATATCCTCTCAATAATATTTTCCTCTCTGAACCTCGGATTATTGATACATCATTGTCAATTTTTTTAGCTTTTCACAATAGAGGCACTGACTGGAAGACAGGAAGATGAGTTTGGTAAGTAGCAAACATCCCCAACGGCCGGAAGTAAGCTCGTTTAAAGAACTATTGTCGTCAAGCAGGGGATCTTCTAATGGTTTATATTAACTGGTAATATCGCAAAAGTGTGTGAGAGGGGTTTTACTGGGCCTCACCCTAGCGAGAAAGATTTTTTAGCATTTCGCCTGTGGCTTTCGTACGATTTATTAAAAAAATCCCCAAAGAGAAACGTAAAACACCCAACTTCAATAGATATGAGTAAAATTTTAAATAATAAAGACAATAATAATAATTAAAGACGCAAATTGTGCATGATTTATTTGTTTTCAATAAGAAACGACAAATTAGGGAAATTTATTTTTGGACAAAATTTTTCATAACAGGTAATATACAGGGTGAGCCTGTATGTCCTCAATGTCTCATTAATTATTATTAGTGAAAAAAACAGTCGAAGAATAAAGTTATTCGGTCTTTCTACCTGCCAAATTTTTTTTTCTCTTATGCAGGATGTTCTGTTTCTAAGTCCCACCAAACAATCCTTAGGCTTTAGTGCTTTATTTTATTTTTGAAATTCCCATAATAAAGCTGATAATTTATTCCATTTTTCTTTTTTTATAATGCAAAACGCGCAGAAAGTGTCAAATTTACCTACAGAAAATACATACTCAAAAAAGATAGAATAGGAAAAAATGCAGGTGAACAAATATTTCAAAAATTTTTTGAAAAAGGAAAGAAGAATAAATAATAATTTAAGATATTATTTTATATTTTATATACATGGATACAATATTATTTTTGTGAAACGATGTAGGGTTTTCAATAATATACACGGTGAGTCACCGAGGGCGCGGTCCTTGGTAGGTATCTCATTCATTTTAAATAGAAAAAAGTTACAGACTCAAGTTGTACGGTTCGTTGAGTAGTATACACCAAAATTATTTCGAACTATACAGAGTGCTTTGTTTTTGAGGCGTAACACGCAACTTATTATATATTTTTTTATAGAACACTATGATTTTTACATATTGTTATTAGCCTCTTCCTAGGCTACACAACCACAGTTTATTTTTTAAATTTCAATGCGATGTTGCCACGTTTATTCCCGTTTTCTTCATATTTTTTGACAATGGAAACGTTCGCAAAAAAAATCACAATAGGGTTATTTGTTTTATAGTAGTGCCAATTAAACGAAATTTCAATATATAAAATGTTTATAAAAAATTCTAAAACTTTAAAATTTTCACACAGAAACCCTGTATTTTACGCTATTTTTTGTTCTTATTCTTATAATACGTCGATGTGTTTCTTAAAAAGATAAAAAATTATCAATTTTAGGTATAGAAGATACTTAACAAAATAGAAAGAGAACAAAAAATAGATGCATTATTACAATCTACTTTAAAAAACTGAAATATCGATATTTGTAGATTGTAATATTTATTTTTTTAAAAACTCTCTGTATATGAAGATTCAATTTTATTTCCTCAAAGTATTATCAGACAGAATGATCTAAAAATAACCCTATGGCTATTTTTTGTGAACTCTTCCATTGGTAAAAACTTTCAAGAAAATTGGAATGACGTGGCAACGTCGCTTCAAAATATCAAAATTTAACTCTGATTATAAAGCCTTAGGAGAGGTCAATCAAAATATGTAAAAAAAATGTTGGTTGTTTTATTTAAAAAAACTAAGTTGTCTTACGCCTTAAAAACAGAACTCTCTGTATAGTTAAAGCTAATTTTAGAATATAAATAGTGCTCAAATTTAGTCCGTGACTTTTTTTCTGTTTACAATAATTAAGGAGATATTAAGAATGCGCGCTTATTGAATTAACCTTAACCTAATTTTTTAAATACTTACGATGATAAATGGTATTATAATAGTGATTGAGGTGTTAATTTGTGTTCTTTTCAACAATGATAATTATACCCAAAGGACAATAAAAAATAAAATCAAAGGTAGCTATGGAGATTTGTCTTGATAGAACGATGAAAGACAAATTTTCAAAAATCCATAGCTGGGTAAATTATGGCCACTTTCATGTTTTCTAGACTTTTCATGGCCTCTAGAGCACGAAAAAATATGTTTCCTATTTCCGTCTGTCTATCGTCTCTGTGTGTCAATTTTTACTGGACAAATAATAGAACGTAGGCTGTTAAAAAAAGAAAAAAAGCGCTAATCATATTTTTTGGTTATTTCTTCATTCCAGTGATTACTTTTAAAATTGTTCAGTCATTTACTAAAATCAGTGTTATGTTAACAAATACTAGCCTCGCCCACCCACCCTCTATTTTCTTGGAAGGTATGTAATCTGCAACAATCACTCTTATCCTAGCAAGTATTGACTTCATCTGACCTGAAAAAATTAAAAACCCGTGAAATTTTAAATCGAAAAAATTAGGAAAGGGAAAATTGAAAAAACAAAAAATCGTAAAACCGAAACACCTACACCCATTATCACATGAAAAATAAGACACATTAATAAACCAATAATCTCCAACAATGAACTAATAATTTTTAATCAAAAAACTGAATCCATATCAGCAATCAATAAATTAATTTACTAATTTCGCCATATGACTGAAAAATCGAATAACTGAATAAATAAAGAAAATAAAAAACCGAAAAATTTTTCATAGAAGCGGGATTTTTTAGGCCGCTCTTCAGAAGCGAGGAAAATTCTGTTGAAATAACCCTCGATTTACTTTGTCCAACTCTTTCATAGAAAAAAAAGAATAAATAAAGATGAAAATTCTAAGGGTTACATATATACCGTAAAAATTGAAGAAACACAAAAAAAATGAGAAATCCCAATTTGAAAAATTAAATAAACGAAAAATCAAAATTAAAAAATCGAAAAGTTGAAAAATCAAAAATTTTAAACTAGTGAAATTGCAAATCGAAAAACTGAAAAGTTTTAAAATGAAAACTCGAAGAGTTGCACACCGTAAAAGTGAAGAAACAAAATAAAATGAAAAATTGAAGGAACGAAAAAATTAAAAAACACAAAACTGAAAAATTTAAAATTGAAAAAACGAAAAATAAAAAAATCTGAAAGTTGAAAAATTTCTCAATGAAGAAAATAAATATTGTAAAATCAGAACATCGCAAAACCGAAAAATTGAAAAAATGAAGAAAATAAAAAACCGACACGCAAAATTGCAAATCGAAAATTTGAAGAAATGAAAAATTAAAGAATTGAAAAATTGAAAAATCAAAAATTGAAAACCCCTGAAATTGCAAATCGAAACAACTAAAGCAGTAGCCCCGCCCACCCACCCCTTCTTCATTCCAGTGACTACTCTTAATATTCTTGAGTCTTAATGACATTACATCGAGAACGCGCGCTTATACTGCACACTTCAAGATAATATTTCATATTAACTATTTTGGCGTTGAAATAAAGTATTATTATTATAATTTTTTAAATACTTACGATGATAAATGGTGTTATATTAGTGTATGTTTTTGTGACTTCAAACCTAAATGTAGTATATCTCCCAACCAACAATTTGATGACGTCTTCTCGTAATTTCAGTTAGTACCTAAAGATTATTTAATTTCATAAAGTAAGATACTCCTGTACTCGTGGTTTATGAATCCGCCCTTTTTTAACATTCATTTTAAGTATAAGATTTTTGTGCAATATTTTCCAAGTTTCACGTTGTCGATATGTCGGTTTTGTGCGTCGTGGCTTAGTTGATTAAGTAGTGAACAGTTGGGCTTGTGTTCTACCGCCCATCTTGGTTCCAATTCCATCATTATATTATTTTTTTACACTGTGACTTGTATTATCCATATATTGCTTTAATTACAGGGGTTATCATAATACAAATAAAATTTTTCAAAACCAAATTTTATATTTTTTTGAAAAAACTGACAAAAGTGTGCGTTTCCAATGGAAAATACAAATTTTCTGTAATTATCTAAACATCGTTCCATTTTTATCTTAGATGTAGCTAATGACGTCATTCTGTCACACCGTGTGGAATGAGTTGATTTCTTGACATTATCAGTCGCACTAAACATATGAAAATTAATAGGTACCAACTAGAGACCTTCGCGTTAGTAGTATATCTGTTAAGGAACAGGTCTTAAACCACAAGTATGTTATTTTATAAAATTTAAATACCAATTATTAACCACAATTTTAAGCTGACGTCATTATATGGTTGCTGGGGACAATTAGACAAATTTTGGTTAGCGTTTTACCAACAATGCGATATTCCTGACATATGTATAAAATGTGACAACAATCGGTCCGGTAATTTAGGAGATTCTTTATCTAACCCAAATCAACACAGACGACACACAGACGTAAATGGGGAACCTAGTTTTTCATACACTAGGAGTCGCGAAAACATGAAAGTAGCCATTTGTCGAATGTGTCCTATTTCAATACAACCTCTAGCTTAATTAATTTTAATTAAATGAAATACATGGTGAACTGTTTAATTACAGGAAGTAATTAAACACTATCAATGTAAAGTAACGTTGCCAGCTTGTATGCAGCTTGTATGACCACCAACTTGTAATTA